GATCCTGCCCCCTGTTAAAAAAAATAAAGTTTATGTAAAATCCCACCCCCTTTACGCATTTTAATTAAAAATTAACCCCTTCCCTGCCAACTGATCACTGACTACAGTGATCAATTGGCAGGGAGTACATTTTACTGCCATCTGATTTTTTTTTTTAACCCTCAGGGGTTAAATTTATTTAATTAATTAATTTAAATATTTTAAAATGATATATTTAGCTAGCTGGGGTGGGTGGAAGTTAGTGGGGAATTGGGGGATTTGGTGTCAGGCTAACTAGGGGTTAACGTTAAAAAAGGTTTTAAAATAAACTTTAAAAAGTTAAAAATTAAGCTTAAAAAAAACACCCCCCTTCACCCACCCCCCTTTATATATTTTGCTAGCTGGAGTGGGTGGGAGTTATGGGAAAATTGGAAATTTACTGTTAGTGCTGCTTACTGCTAGTTAGGGGTTAACGGAAAAAAAAAAAGCTTAGAAAAATGTTAAATCTGTAAAAAAAAAATTAAAAAAGTTTAGGAAAGTTTAAAAAAAAATAATAAGCAAAACAAAAGTTTAAAAACTAGTTTTTAAAAGTAAAAAAGTTTAAAAAAGTAAAAAAAATACATTTAAAAACGCTCATTGCCACTACACCTGGAACAAACTAGAGAAAAAATGATCCCATGCTAAGGTTCAAAATATGCCTTTTGAATTACCCCAGGGTGTATTCTTTAATAAATAGTATGTGTTTGTGGGAAAGTTTCAATAACCAACTGTCTAAACTACTCCAAATTGGAACATGGACACAGCGTAAAACTTCAAAATTAGAAAAAAAATGAATGGCTGCCTCTCAAATGCGCCCCTTCAACATCCACATATACCTGGCAAAGGTACATACGGGGGTATTGCTGTACTCAGCCGACATAGCTGAGCAACATATGAAGTATTATACAGTCATAGCACACATAAGGTTTGCAAAATATACTGTGCAAACTCATTTTGTGTGTCAAAAAGGCAGAAAAAACACTTATTACCACTACACTTGGTACAAGCTAGCGGAAAAATGATCCCACGCTAAGGTTCAAAATATGCCTTTTTGAAATACCCTGGGATGTCTTTTTTAAGAAATGGTATGGCTTTATGGGGTATTTGGATTATATAGCCTTGTAAAATACTCTATAATGGGACATGGGCACAGCGTAAAAATGTAAAGTTTGAAAAAAACTGGAATGGCTGTGTCCTAAATGTGCCCCTCCGATGTCCACATATACCTGGCAAAGGTACATACGGGGGTATTGCTGTACTCAGCCGACATAGCTGAGCAACATATGAAGTATTATACACTGGTAGCACACATAATGTTTTCAAAATATACTGTGCAAACTCACTTTGTGTGTCAAAAAGGCAGAAAAAACACTTATTACCACTACACTTGGTACAAGCTAGCGGAAAAATTATCCCACGCTAAGGTTCAAAATATACCTTTTGAAATACCCTGGGGTGTCTACTTCAAGAAATGGTAGGCCTTTGTGGGGTAGTTTGAATTTAAACCCTGCTAAGATGCTTGGAAATTGCACATAGGCCCAGCGTCAAAGTTCGGTAAAAACTGATATGGCTTGGTCTCCTATATGGCACTGTAGCTTCACAAAATAATTTGGGGGGTTTGAACTTAGTGGCACATGTGAAATATACAAAATGCCCAGCAAAAATGCAATCCATTTGTAAAAAACGCACAAAATTATTTTTTATCACATACTTTAGCATATATTGGTGAAAAAATGGGGGCATGTTAAGGCACAATATGCACCTTATGAGATACCATGGAGTGTCTACTTTTACAAATGGTAGGCCTTTGTGGTTTTTTTTTGAATAGTTAAACTGGTATAATACCCCAAATGGAAGGATAGGCTCATTAAATCCATCTCTCAAAATTCTACTGTGAATACTGAAAAGGACAGGTCTCCTATTTGGCACTGTAGCTTCACAAAATAGTGCCAAAGACATACAATTTGGGTGTCATTTTACTCAGAAGACTTAGCTGTGCATAATTTAGGGGGTTTGAATTTAGTGAAATATGTGAAATATACAAAATGCCCAGCAAAAATGCAATCCATGTGTAAAAAATGCATAAAATAATTTTTTACCACATACTTTGGCATATATTGGTGAAAAAATGGGGGCATGTTAAGACACAATATGCACCTTATGAGATACCCTGGGGTGTCTACTTTTACAAATGGTAAAAAATACTAAAAAAAAAATACTAAAAAAGACTGGACATACCCCATTTGCAACACCTTGGGTTGTCTACTATTGCAAATGGTATGACATCATGGGGGTAATTTTCATTCCTGGGCTACCGTACGGTCTCAAAGGCGACATAACCAATCTGGTGAATTTCAATGGGAAAAAACTGAAACACAAGCCTTATATTTGACGCTGTAACTTTTGAAAACACCATAAAACCTGTACATGGGGGGTACTGCTATACTCAGGAGACTTCGCTCAACACAAATAATAGTGTGTCAAAACAGTTAAACGTGTCACAACAATTATATTGTCCGTGTAAGTGCTATTTGCAAAAAATGTCACTTTCACTGACAATATCATTGTTGTAATACATTTTACTATTTTGAAACACTAATATTTGTGTTCATCGAAGTCTTCTGAGTAAAACAGTACCCCCCATGTACAGGTTTTATGGTGTCTTGGAAAGTTACAGGGTTAAATACAGTGCTAGCAAATTAAATTCCCTGGACTTTCTCCCAGGGTTGTCAGGCAGGTCCTACAAATTGTAATTGATAAAAGAACCCAATTATGTAAAATTCTTCTATAAATATATACGTGAATTATTATATATATATATATATACACACACACACACACGTGTATATATATACATAAATATGTATAGAATTTTTAAAAATAATTTTTATTTATAAATAGGGATATATATATATATATATATATATATATATATGTATTTACTTATGTATATAGATATATATATATTATTTTGTTCTACATGTATTTTGGTATCAATATATATAAATTTTAAAATAAAACAGAATTACACATATATTTTTCATTATTTATTTTATTTTTTAACGTATTTACATATATATTTTATATATAAATATATATATATATATATATATATATAATTATAAATATATTTAATCAATATCATTCTGCTATGCCGTCCATGTGATTGTGAGGTCTTCGCAAGGACCTCGCGATCACATGGGCCAAGAGGGCAGGAACGGGAGCAGGGGGACTCCCTGGGATGTCAGGTGAGTCCTCCCACCGCGATCGCCGGCAACCGGCTAAGTGAATAGGACGGCAGGGACGTGCTATGCTGCCCCCCCGGCATTTAGAGCCAGGTCCCCAAGGACGGCATAGAACACCCGCCATCCTTAAGGGGTTAATATGCAGAGGATCATTCACAGCAGCGAAAATGGATGTGACTAAACATTGTGCTTTTAAGAAACCTTTCAACCATTTTATTTTTTTAATTTACATATTATTTAATGTAGAAAAAAAAGGGAAGTTATGCACTTCGGGGTCAAGAATGCACAAGCAACTTACACACTAAATGGTAGTGAATTAGGGATAACCACACACGAGAAGGATTTGGGAATTGTTATAGACAACAAATGAGGCAGCAATATGCAATGTCAATCTGCAGTTGCTAAGGCCAGTAAGGTTTTGTCATGTATAAATAGGGGCATAAATTCTCGTGGTGAAAATATACAGGTGATACTCGAAAAATTAGAATATCGTGCAAAAGTTCATTTATTTCAGTAATGCAGCTTACAAGGGGAAAATAATATATGACATAGACGCATTACATGCAAAGCAAGATAATTCAAGCCGTTATTTGTCATAAGTGCGATGATTATGGCTTGCAGCTCATGAAAACCCCTAATCCACAATCTCAGTAAAATAGAATATTACATGCAATCAATAAAACAAGGAGTGTACATAGAACAATATCGGACCTCTGAAAAGTATAAGCATGCATATGGACTCAGTACTTGGTTTGGGCCCCTTCTGCAGCAATTACTGCCTCAATGCAGCATGGCATGGAAGCTATCAGCCTGTGGCACTCCTGATGTGTTATGGAAGACCAGGACGCTTCAATAGCAGCCTTCA